GTGGGGGGGGGGGGGACTTTAATATAGAAAATAAACGAGATGTACTGTAAATTAATAGTTACTTGTTTCCGTAAAAGAGCAGTGAATCAATCTTGTTGTAGGAGTTAACTAGCACTAAAATAATAAATTCAAAATTTTTGCATACTGCATGCAATAGGACATCCATAAAATACTCCATCATTTCTGTAGTGACTACATCTGCTGGAAGTCGTAAGCTTAATTTGAACTTGAAATTACAAGTAATACAATATTCAACATAGAACGGGATAAATAGATTACAGGAAATACCTTAATACTGTACAGTGTGACTAAACTCTAGATAACATTGCACATATTACGTGAATACTTTGATGTTAAAGAACACATGTCGGTCGCTTCCTCTGGCACATACTAGGCCTTCCGAATATAGTATTGTCAGTATTGCGCTCACCATTATATTGCGATATATAATATTTACATCACCGAATAAGATGTGCAGGTCTTGTTGTCTTACTGATCCTCTAAACAGCGTCTATAATAAAATTGTTTACCCATTATCCCTGCCGGAATACGGTTTCTGCCAGTGTCTTGAAGATATAACTCAATCTTATGACAATGTAGGAACAACATAACTTTATTTCTTATGCTTACAAATACCTTAATACGCGTATAGCATAATCTTAACTGGGATAAAGATTAGCTTATGTAGGATTTTAAATCTTAAATCCAATATCAGTTTTCATAATCATAAAAGCAATGAGCTTTATTTATAAAAAATCTTTATTAGTAAATTCGCGTGGTTGGCGAATACTTGATTTATTTCATTAAATTATCATCAATTTTGAATTATCTGAGTCTAAAAAAATGAAATCATTTATTCAATTAAAATTTCTGGATAGTTACTTCCAAATAACCTACTCAGCAACCAGCTAACGCTATAATCACCCAATAAAAGATGATCTTCGGCTACAACGATGATTTCACCGAACCCTGACGCTGTTGTTGAAGGGCATCATACATGGCGGCAGTGATAAGTTGGACATTTTCTTTGGTGCAATTATATCCCATAAGTCCAATCCTCCAAACCTGATAGTGTTGATTAGACAGCAAACGAAAAAGAAATGAAATTAAACGATAAAGGTATTATTCTTTTTATGGTAGAAAGAAACATAGTGTATAATAGTATCAAATTTGAAGCAGCAGTATAGCAAAAGCGAGACCTGACGATATTATATCAACACCAAATTTTAATTATCTATCATAAAAATATTTCGATCGTATACTAACTACATAGAATATCTACAATTTACTCCGTAAATTATAGGCCTGCACGTTATATGGAAGAACACGAGACAAATATGTAATAGATAAAGATAGACGCAAGTATTGAACCCACCTTCCCTGCAGTTTCACCTAGTCCGCCAGATATTTCTAGATTGTATCTAGACAATGGTAAATGTAGATCTTAGATAAACTATTTATACGAGAAATCTTATCATAGGATTTCTCCTTTCAAATGTCATTGATCAATTACCCAAATTGGAATGTTAACAAATAACTGAACAAAGATAATTCAATTATAACTTGCTTAACATATCGCGTCATTTGATGTAAAAAAACATCACAAGATCAGAATAATTCTATCAAGTGATTTTTACATCCATACTTTTGCATTATAAACGTTGCAACTTCCTTCCAATTAATGCCATTTGGAACATTGACTGCGGTTACTGTTGGCAATCTAGCAATCTATCAAGAAAAAAGTATTTATACCATATAAATCCAACATTTAAATTAACGTCATACGACCTACGTATTTATCATTAGACTGCGTAAATTCAATCCCCTTTAATAACGTACAAAACTTGGGTAGTAACTGCTTACCAGTGTAAGACAAGTATTAACCAAATCTATCTTAGATATTCCTCAAAAATATTACATTAGTGATATCAATACCTTCTTTTTGACATAGAGCTCTAGACCTAGCTTCTGTAATTCGTTCCATAGTAATTCTGAATTTTCTTTATGACGCCTCCATGAATTCTCCAACCCCTGTATATTTCAATTCCAATCATCGAGGATAAAATCAATTCCATTATAATAATTTATTAAATAACTGTTATCTTCCTATCTAAGAGTCATTCTATTCAAAGCGCTACAAATTTATTACACCGAGTAACCGAAATGAAGATTTTTGCTCCAAAATTTCTCATAATATCAATACGGTGAGTTCATTTAATCATTTCGAATCAGAGATTGCTAATGGTTGAGATAAAGAACCATTTGACCACTTATAAGTCTATTATTCTAAATTATGACTATCACTATAAGTAGATTACAGGGCCATCAATTCGATGACTATATTTAATTATTTCTATCCAGAGATTAACAATTATTCAAAGTCTTGATAATAACTTCTGATTCTAACAGCAATGCAAATTAGATAGTTCTAAGTTACATATTCGCATAATATCGAAGAGCTGATTTAAATGTTTATTATATGATGATATAGGGATATAGTGTGCATTGCACTCTATCAACTAAATTGAATTTAAATGCCATGATAACCTGGTTTGTAAGTAATCTGATGATATTAATATACTATTCAGTTACTATTTATATCGAAACTTTGCTCAAATATATCTCCCAATCAAATAATAGAAGACGCAACAATTATGCCCTAGTTGTAATAAAGTGTTACCAGGAACTGCATTAAGAGACCGATTTTAATCGATGCTATTTTACCTCGTTGCACAGAATAGAGATTCCTTCCCTAAGAGCGTAGAAGCTGCTAATAGGACCGGTATGGTGATATCTAAAAATGTATATTGAACCTTCATTTTCTTAACTAAATGACCGCACCTGAAGATCTTGCGACAATTTACGAAGCTAATATCAAGTGTAGCTTTATAAAATTTGAACATAGAAGAAGTCGAGAATCCTCATCTTACGGTTTACAATATTAGTCTCTAGTTACCTTCTAGGCTGATCGTCTACCCCCCAATAATTTGCAAGTTGTATCAGATCGAAATAAAAAGATTCAACCTTAGTTTTTCGATTTTTCACTTTATCCCTATTAATTTTTTATTATTATTCCATTAATATTATCATGCTTCAGATAACAATTTCTACCAATGTACTATTAACTGATTATTTCTATCATACACTAACCATGCTCTTGGGCTAAATGAAATCGGAGAAGCACCAGGAGGACTGCTAAGACATTTCTGAGCTCCACTGTAGACAATATCTATTTCTGTTATAAAAAGATTTATTTACTTAGTAAAAAATTTTTCTACGCTATCATATTTCCTAGCCCTAAAATTTTAGTTATATGCGTAATTTCTAGGTCAAAAAACAAATGAATTCACAATTTTTAATTTATTGTCTTCCAATATAACTTATTATTAACTAATTCATCAAATTCAAATTAGCCTGCGACCTTGAATCATGTATACATGGACCTATGTGACTGTAGCTCGATAATCATAATGGTACGAAAGAAATATTGTCAATACTTATTATAGCTAACACAAAGGTCTGTATATATATATATACTGTATTTACTAAAGATCTAAAATTTATCAACATTAATAAATAGATTACTGCTATCTATGAGTTATATGCACCTAATAAATAGCAAGATCAAGCTATACTTTCTAACACTATCATCAGTCTAAAGCATGTCTAAAATTTTTACTAATTGAATTAAAGCCGCTTTACTAATCCAATAAAGAGTTTAATGGGGATTTTATTTCGTCTTTGCAAGTTATATAACAACAGCAGACATGATATTATTCGATCCCAATCACTTAATAGTAGTTTTTATTTATTAACTCTTATTTACTAGCCGTTTTCAAGCGTTTGTTCGCGGGAAGATTAAAATTTCTATAAAGCCGTAGCGTTTGTTAACTCACCCAATTCATCAACTTTGATTGGAATTCCTCCTAACGATGCAACCGTATCTACTAGCAATAAGCAATTATGCCTATAAAATAATAAAGCCATAAAAGCTTAAAAGTTTTTAGTAGCATGGGTCACTATTTCACAAATACAGAAAATAAATGAGTCTTCAATTAATCAACAGTAATTCTAACTATAAGTACATAGTCCATGGCATGCGTAGTCACATAAAATTTAACCTATGTAGCAATTTATCGATATTTTAAATTTAGATTGTTCGATTTTTAATAATTTTTGTAGCTGTAACTGATATCTTTGAAATTTTAAAAAGACCAACTTGTGGCAAAGTCTACCAATTCCTTCCAAAGGTTGTAAAACGGTTGCAGATGATTCGGCATGAGTTATGAAAAATAATTTTGGCTTGTCTCGGATTAATCCCTAAGTGAATTTTACGGGTTTCATGAAAGAAAACCCCAGAAACATTATTTATATATCACAAAAGTCTATAACATAGTTAAAATAATATTAAAGCACTTCTTCAATCTCTTCCAAGGTGAAGACTTGGCCGACAGGTTTCTTAATTGTTGTTACTTTTGCCCCTATACTTAGAGAATTTAAATCAGAATTCGTATATTAGTAATAAATCATCTTAGATTATTAATAAAACTTGTAAATACTGCTATCTATTTTATTAATAATGTCGTACCGTATCTGCTGGATAAATCAAAAACGCGAGCTCCCCATAATCCATTTACCGCTACTAATACTTTATCATTACGCTCGACAACATTAGCAATCGCTGCTTCCATAGCGGCATGTCCTGTACCACTAATAGCGATAGTCAAACTATTATTGGTCTGAAATATATAACGCAAACCTTCTTTAATTTCATCCATTACATCTAGAAATTCTTTATGTAAATGACCCAACAATGGTAAAGCGGAGGCTGCTAAAACGCGAGGTGATGCATTCGATGGCCCTGGTCCCATTAGCAGTCTTTGAGGAACTTTAATGGGAGTTAATAGCGAAGTAGGTGCTGAAATGGGAAGTGCTGATTGTGCTTTATGAGCCATTCTAAGATCACTAATCTACAACTACGTTGCTGTAAAACTAATTCAGCCACGATAATAATTTGTGATGGCAAAAGGTACCACGCATGCTTCTTTACGTTAGGGATAAGATTTGCAAATCATATTCTCGTATAATGATATGCGGATTTTAGTCATAATTTGTTTACGTTATCTGGATTAGGACAGAGTCCATCAATGGATGTTGTATGCCTATTCCTGATTGGTTACAAGAGTATTTTTTTGGTGAATAAAAATGTTTTCATGAAAAATATAGACTTATTAATTAATTAAAAGCTTACAGACATTCTTCCTACAAAGATACTGGTATCTTATTAACTCTCTTGATTTACGTACATAAGTTTTTATACTATTAAACTGCATTTCTTATTGTTGGACTTATTCAATAACAAGATGGAAAAAGATTGTATAATCCATTTAACTTCTACAGGATGCACAGCAAGTAAAAAGCAAAATCGACTAAGACTTAATTTATTCAAACAATTTTAAACCAAAAACTCTGCTATATGCAGCAGAATGAATTAAAACAATTTAGCATCATGTTCAATAGCTTATTTTATCAGTAGAAGATAAAATTGCTTTCTATACTAATATAATTAGTAAATGAATTTATAGTAATAATTTGGAAGGTAGAGCTATTAAAACCGTAGACTACCTTACAATCAGGACAAGTTTAGCAATTAATAATTAAAGCTATAGATCATACGCCAAGTATTAAACACGAATCTCATAAATTGATATCCGCAACAAGATAATTCATAAACTAATTGGTAATATCAGTTATTATCTACTGGCAATAACATGTTAATTTTGGCTGTTGTTGTCATTATCATCTGCGAGCATCCCCTCTTCCATAGCAGAAAAGTGGCTGTACAATAATACACACGGAAGGATAATTGTGACGCCTGCAATGATAAATCCAGTTGAAATCGTAAAATGAGGATACCAATGGAAATATTTTTTATCTGTAAACATGGTCCAAAAAAACGCCACTAACGGTATAACGAGAGCTTGAATTATAACGAGATAATTTGCTCCATCCGCATATCGAAGTAGTAATAGCGACGAAAGTTGACTTATACAAAAGAATAAAATGAAAGCGCAAGAAATACCAGCTGCCCAAGGATAATGAACTTTAGAATTTCCAGTAAATTGAGACATTAAACCACAAAACATTCCGTTTCTGAATTGTTGCAACGTTTTCGACTGCAATTCAAAAGTAAAAAATCCAACGTAAAAAATCCAAAAAACTTTAGTCTTACTTACGGTACAGTAAGATAACAAAATTCTAATATTTATCCTCAAATATGTACTAGAAGACTAATACGGTATAACAGTTAAATTTATAAATAACCGTATTAATATCGACATTAGGTAGCCAAGCCATGTTTACTAATGTTGATTATTATTAATTTATCATTAAGTTCAATTTCAAAGAATATAGGAACGAATTACAGCCTTAGGTGTAAATTATTATTTTGTTAACGTGTGCTACGTAGAAGTATAAAAAGTCGTGTTACTATTTAATATACCCCATCCTGAAATAAGCATGATTTAAACAAGTGTTGTCAGATATCTTCGATTTTCCCTATTGATAAATACTACCATAATAATTAATGTAAATAATGTATTCAGCTACTACGCTGAGTAAACGATATATCTATCAAATTTCTGAAGATTATTTAAATTTAGATAGCACCATATCGCCACATAATATGAGAAAAAACGTTTCGCATACGGGCATCCAGTAGTAACTATATGTGGCTGCTTGCTATTAAATAATTACAAATAGTTAAGTTCTAAGGTATATGTGTGAGATCCGCGCTTTACTTGGTTGCAGAGCTTAATATGACGGATAGTGTTAGGTAATAATTTTCCTATTTCAATAGTTACTCCTACTATCTGTCAATATAATTATCATATGTGCAAATTAAAGCTTGTTTTGGTTCTTACTAGTGATCCATGAAATTACATGAATTATCTTTTTCTACTCTATAAATATACTGTATCAAATGGAGCTTACCAAGAGCTTCATCTACTGCGATAGTGTTCTAGTTATTATACTTTATAAACTATATCTATAGGGTTTAATAATGATGCTATACTGCAGTATATGCGTACAGTATAATATGAAGCTTTTAAGTTATTTACTGCGATTTCAAGTCTAATAATGCTTTTACGAATGATTCTTATTTTGTTTCCATTATAATATCATTTATTCAACAATATAACCGTACTTAATACTATTGACTAACCCTTTAGGTCTATATACTAAAAGATGTTACATACGCAAACACGCTCATTTCACGCAGCAGTTCACCTTATAAGAAAATTATAGCTATTAAACGTCTTGAGCAATAATACGGCTATTATACAACTTCTAGAAAAGTATTAAACCAATTGTCAACATTAATAGTTTTGAGGACCACAAGATTGTATAGATATTAATCTTGTTATTTAATATTACTCTCGTTCATGACTCTGATCACAAACCAGTTCGAGTGCTAGCAAGCGATTGCGATATTCTTGGTCTATACGAGAATATTTCTGATAAGATATTTTGTAATCACACGCACACTTAAATCTAAAGATTAAGCGGTTAAATGATCATTTATCAATACCATTATCATTTAGTAAGGCTCATATTTATTTATATCTCTTACCATACTGGAGGGGATAGTATAATCTGATATAAATAACTTCTTATTATCATTAAAATGTTTATTCCAAGTCCTTTATTTACCTCACCAAAACCTGGAATAAATTCAACCCAAAATACCAGTCCAAAGTAGAAAACCTTGTAAGTTTGCAACCAAGCTTCAAAAATTAAAGCTTCTTCCTATAGTAGAATCATACGCGTTTATCCAAAAATAGAATTATTTGCATGTCTTTCTTGACGATACTTTTAAATTAGCTCTTATTTAGGGCTAATTACTTTGCAATTAATACAAAAATTATTAATGGTAACAATAAGGTAAACAAGAGGGTCGAAATATATCAATATGCATATATATATTATAAATGATTTTGCTAACCATCGAATCTTTTTTAATCTCTCGTTCTTGTAAAACAGTAGATAAGCTATTAGGTAAATAGGCTAGTCCAAAAATTATTGGCCATACCAATGATTCTCCGGCATGATGATCATATTGATTATCGATATTAAAAATGTTCGGTTCAAACGAAATAAATAAGCCGATCAAAGTACCCAATGTACATATTAGACGACCAGCACCACTAGATTTATGCAATACAATATAACTTAAAACGACAGTGTATGGAATTCTTAAAGATCTGAGAATAACTTGTAAACTAGGAGTAGTCCTATTTGGTGGACTTGCATAGACAACAAAAACAGCATTCAGAGCTTCTAACAAACCAAGTAGAACAAAAACTCTGTGCGAAGTATATGATTTGAAACTAAATGATGGATTGTATAATTTGACCATTAAAGCAGCTAGCCAAAATGCAACAGGGAACCAGATATCACATGATATAAGAGTATAGTATTGATTACTGTGACAATAGCCTGATAGGAGAATACTTTGTGACAGAATAGGTAAGGTAATACTAACGCCACATAGGGTCACAATGCATATAATCGCACATATTGCTTTAATAAATGTCAGAGAAGTATGCACATTACACATAGGCAGTTTAAATTTGCCGTTAGTAACTGCTTTCTTCCTTTCATCTCCTACATAATTGGTTATATCATCAGTAATTTGTTGAGAATTGCTAGAAATTAATACGGTCGTTTCATCTGCATCCATAATAAATGGTAATTTAACCTTTGCACTGATAATTAATATTATAATTTAAGATCTTTTCACGTAACGAAATGATACTTTACTCTAGGAAACAAGTTATAATACAAATATCACTAATTAAACCTATCGATATTACCAATATCAAGCTAAATGCATGACATGTACATGAATAATCACATTACAGTACAATAAAATTCCACAGCCATCTGCAAGTACCTATTGATTTACAGCAAGATAATGATGACGATAGTTTTCTTCGCATCCGAAAATTTAGCATACAAATACGTTTTAGGAGTCAGTTGAAACTTTTGACTTATACGGCTAATTGCAAGCTTAGTAAAATAAATAAATTAACATGTATTTGATAAACTGCATCTTCTATGGTACAGTTGTCAATACGACAGCAGTCATGATAGAACTGCAGTATGTATTTAAATGCGATTTTTAATGGATAATAGATCAAGCCATAGTTGTACGGCTCAGTTTATAGGTAATAATATTAAGGAATATAAGATATTAAAGTAGTTCGATTAAAAATAAGGTATTTTGAGTTAATGACTTAAAATATCAAAATCTAATAAGACTGGCAATACAGAAGCTACATAAATAAATATTAACAGCAAACACCACAGAATAGGAACAAATGCATTTTAAAGCATTTTAATATCGTATTTATATTGGTAATGATTACTAGTTCTTTGAAATTTATTTATATGAGGTCTATCTGATTGAGATTGCAATAATTGTTTACTATTTATTGTTTTATACTGTTACGGTTGGTATTTAAAGACTGCAATATAAGTAAACTTAATCAAGTGTTTTACTTTAAAAATTTTTGACTCTTCTAAAACTGAACTTAAATCGACCTTGAGCAATTTGATAGGACTCATTTCATCTTAGCTTTTGCCTATGGAAACCGAATTTAGATTCAATTTTTTTCGATTAGGAGTTTTAAATATTTATAAACCTTTCTTCAAGCACCAAAATCTAAGTCTAGCATATCTATGGATTACTCGTATTACATACGATCACTGGAATATATGAGTATCGTGTATGATCATGCAAAAATTATATCGCGAATTAAAATATTTCTTATTTCTTATGTATGTCTATATAATGGGCTAAAGGTACATATATTACTAGAAAATTCTTCTAGTATATTATTGATCATGCATAATAATACCTTGTCGTAATTTATAGATTCTACCACCCTTCTTACTTGTAAACACTTCGCTCTTATTTGCATACATGATCGTTTTCGAGTACGTGACAACATTATCAGATGACTTCCATAAGACCTTAATATCCTTTACAAGTAGCTTATAACTAAATGTTTGGTAAGGTATGCCGTCATAAACAGCATGATACTAGATAAGTTTATTATTATACTTGTTATTGCTAAAACTTAAGCGATGACGCAATTTAACGAAACAGCACACATTAGAAAAATTTTCTTGTTCAACTTAGATTCAGTATTGATATAGAGAATTATACCATTAATTATCTATCCGTATAGAAATCTACTTATATTTGATGATTGGTTTGTTTCCTCTTTATTTACTAGTTTTATCCTTTCTGAAGAAACTTACATTTTCATAAATAAAGTTAAATTTAGTTTTTAGGTAGAATTACTTTCTCTTGATTTTGACAAGTTTTTAGTAAATAATAACGATATAGATTCCATGCTGTAACTAAGCTAGAATTTTATATTTTGATGTCGTAAGACTTAGAAATTTGTCATAATATTCAATAGAAATAGAATCTTTTTTATTTTAAATCTTGGATATATGCGGTACTAAAATATTAGAAATAAAAAATACTGCAATCGCAGCATTTCTTGTTTTATTACATTACTATGAACATATAAATGTCTATTTACATAAATATTAAATAAATGCAAACGTAGTGTTTGATATTTTATTGAGATAATGAAGCTCATATTATTGTAGAAGCTATAAAATTTTATAGAGATTTATCATAAGTTCATAAAAAAAGTAAAGTATTACAATTTTTACTAAATTGAATATACTAATAATATATTTGCTATCCTAATATATCTCTTAAGATCAGCTACGTCAGCGATTAGTTAACTATTCAAAATTTCACTTCTATTTATAGAAAGAATTCCTTCAGATTAAAGGCTGTGAATCTGGATCTAATACTCAGTAAATATGGTACTATTTGAATCAAGTAGGATTTGGCTTTATAGCCATTAATAATTATATAATAACCAAAGAGGAGGCTAGAAATGATATTTATATAAAATGGTATCGCTAGTTACAGGTAACTTAGAATCAGTTGACATTTCCTTAAGAGGTTACCTTTTAGTTAGAAATATGGTATGAGAGTAGTTTCCATCAATATGTGTAATATTAAGATGGTACGCTTGAATCAGTTAAAGTACGCATATCGTCATTGTACTTATTTAATGCTGCTTCTCTTGCAGCTCGTTTCTTGTCATCCAAAATACTGAAGTAATTATAAAGTAATACGCATGGAACGATAACCAAAACGCTAGCAATAATAAATCCTGTAGATAACGTGAAATGAGGATGCCAGTGAATGCCATTCTTAGAAGAAAATAATGTCCAAAAGAAGGCAACCAAGGGAGTTACTGGTGCTTGAATAATTACTAAGTAATTAGCTCCATCTGTGTAACGAATCAGTAGTAACGAAAAAAGTTGAACTCCAGTAAAAAACAGTATAAATGCAGACGATGCACCAGCGGCCCAGGGATAATGAACGTTAGAATTACCAGTATATTGAGCCATGAATCCACAGTACATGCCGTCTTGAAATTCTTTGAAAGATTTGGCCTGCCAAAAATATAGATACATATAGAAATTGCATTTCTCAACTCAAATTTAAAGTCAATAGCGATCAGAACAGATAATTCATAATGATTCGGACTGAGATTTCTAGTAGGAGATAATCCTAGTAAGCTATAATGTAAACATTAAATAGTCTGAAAATTTCTAATAATTATAATAAGCTAAACTCTGCCGATGGTGGGTGTGAAATTGAAGAATTAGGTTACATGTAATGGCATCTTTACATAACAGCCATTTCTGTATGCTGTTGCTTGCCATATGATGGAGCGATGGTGTTTTAGCTTGCAGTGTCTTAATATCTTTGGTAACTAATATTATAAGAACTAATCAGCTAATTCTATTTGAAAAAGTAGTATCATGTATAAAGCTAGTTGCTTCCAAGTGTACAGTCGTAATAGACAGAAATAGCATTTCTTGCAGTTTCAGTCATTCATACGGTACACTGTATTGCATGTCAGTATAATAACAAAGTGTCGTCGGATATTTTAAATTGCTAGTATATTTTGCAATTAAAACGTTACCAATGCTAATCAATAAGTTAATTCCGATAAGACTGAGATTGAAGATGCATTTATCAATACAACTTATATTATTTTTATTAATTTACCGTTCCAAAGCCGGGTATAAATTCAGTCCAGAAAAAAAGCCCAACAAAAATAAGTTTGTAGGTTTGAATCCATGCCAGAAATACAAGAGTTTCCTCCTATTGATATAAAACATCATTAGTAAAATACACGAAGGTATCATTTGCTTAAAAGAAATGATAAATAGTAATGCCTTCAATCCGTAAAAGCATAATTGGCGGAGTAATAAAGTTATTTTATAACTGTTGTAGCGCTATTATTAAAAATTCAATAACCTTTGCATCTTTTTTAATATATCTTTCCTGTAAAACATTTGATAGACTACTTGGTAGATATGCCAACCCAAAAACGAGCGGCCAAATTACTGAAGCAATACCCTTCTTTCGATATTGACCATTAATATCGAAAATAATAGGTTCGAAAGAAATAAATAATCCGATTAATGTGCCACATGTACATATTAGGCGGCCAAGACTGGGACGCTTGTGCAATATCATGTAACTTAATAAAACCGTATAGGGAATTCGTAACGTCCTAAGTATAGCCTGCAAACTTGGTAAAGTTCTACTCGGTGGACTACCATAAACCACCATGAAAGCATTGAGAGTATCTAACAGACCTAGGAGTACAAGGACTTTATGTGATGTATAAGATTTGATGCTAAACGATGGATTGGTCAATTTAGCTATAATAGCGCATAACCAAAATATGACTGGAAACCAAAAGTCGCACGAAACAAGCGTAAAATATTGATTGCTAGCACAAATATTTGATAAAAGAACTGGAAAGAACTGGTAGGGCAATATTAGCACCGCATAGGCATATAATACAGAAGATAGCAATCATAATTTTGGTAGCTCGTGGTGAGAAATAAACATTGCATATTGGTAGCGTTATGCCGGTCTTGTTGGCAGAATTAATACTGCCAGTGACTACCACAACATCGACTACATCTTCATTTTCTTCCATTTTCGTGGATAGTACTTCTAACAAATAAATAAAATAATTTGCTGTTTATAGGTAATATAGGCAGTACTTTAGTTTGAATAAGAGCTTTTATAATGTAGTACTTTGCGTATACGGGTATGAAATTACGCGTGTGGCAAAGCTTCCATAAATTATATACTTTAGCCAGCTGGTAGGCAGTTGCATATAATAACCGGAATTCGGGCTTTAGCTGTAACCATTTAGGACAAAGGGATTGCAGTTATGATCTATAATTTACTTCACTTGCATGGTAGATAACTAATAAACATCAGGTTGGGTAAGATTTATTGGTAAGGCATCCTACTGCTTAGCTGAAATCGAGCAATATAACATGTAGACAGACACTTGTTGATGTGAAGAACCGCATGTGCCAGCGTTACTACGATACGCGATGTACAGTACAATGTACAGTACGCTGCCGTGGGCTACAGTACTACTGTAATGTACCGTACAGTACTGTAAATGATACAGGACAGTCAGCGTACAGTACAGTACAATATTGCACAGTGCACAGTACAGTACGTAATGTACTGTCATGGAACACCAAAAAATATGCTGCACCTTCTTCCAGTAGAGGTCTGATTAGTTTCTATGGCACCCGGAAACAATAAAGTTGTGTAAGTTAAATGAAGCCAAAACTATTATATATATATGTAAATATTATTTTTCGCTAAATATTATACAGGAATTTCAATGAAATACAACTTTGATTTTTTAATGAAGGGTTGCCATCGAAAATGATCAGATTGTATGGTACTGTAGTTAGTAGAGTACAGTATCACGATAGAATATTGATGAAATCATAATTGTTTAGAGGTCAATATTATTGGTACGCTTAATCCCAGGAATCGGCCAATAAAAAGGCAAATTATAATTAATTCTCGTCATTATTCTAAGTAATAATTAAATAGCTGAAAGCTTAGTTGTCGTCGTAGATTGATTCTAGTTAACAAATTACGATAACTGCATTTCTGATACATCTTTTCTTGGCTGTTTTACTTAAGTATGGTAAAAGTTCATATAAGTCATAAGGGAAATTGTTATATTGTCACTCATCTCTCGATTGTAGAATCAACGGTATTGAAAGGCTAGAGAACGAGAATACACAGCTGATATTGGAATAGATTATACCAACCAATAGGACATCTTGATAGAATCAAGAAAATCAACTCCTTTATTAATTAATGGCTCAACTAATTATAACCGTAAGGATGCGATTAATATCGTTTGCGATAGTAAAGACGATGCACTTAATTTAAATACTGTTACTTTATCGTATTCAATGTTTGTCGTCTCTCAATCGACTGCAAGCATATTCATTGCTATCATTACTGTTCTTAGCCAAGTTGTAATGAATATTAGTTTACCTATACTATCGGAAATTATCGAATCTGGTCACTGTCGTAGTAATCAGTTTTTTTTGGCTTATTTTATTCTACTTTGTGGTTCCCCATTCTTTTAGGGCAGTTGTTTTGATCGTGAAACTATTGCGCCCTACTTTTAACGTCAGGACTTACACTTCTTAGAAATATTTAATTCTTTTGGGAGCATTGAACGCTGTCAATGGATTATTGATGGTATATGGTAGTCTATGCAGCAACAGTTAGCGAATTACAACTGCCAAAATATTACCCGTCGTCTATTAACAATTTTGTTATTGAACAAACTTGCACAGAATGTAATGTTTCTTGCGGTCTGACAAAGAGTTGATACATAAGATGTAGTGAGAGATAGATTTTTATTATTGATGAGCAAGAAGAGAAGAGTAGCGAGGTTGAGTGTGTGAAAGAGAATCATCAAGAGCCGAAAAGAGAGTCAATATATAGTGTACTGTAATACCAGTACAGAACTAGTAGGTTCCAACGTCTGATTGGCATTAAGATGAGTTATGCTCAATTACATGCTATACGTATTCTTATACCTACAGAAAATCACTACTAGTATAATATAGGGTATGTGATACAAAACACAAACCTTTTGTTGATGTAGTTATATTTTTCGATTGGTAACGGTATTTTATCGATTAACGATTATAATTTAAAGTACTATCTCAAATTTAGCTAACAGTATCAGACATTCTTACAAACTTATACTTTGCTGAATGTGAAAATAAGAAGTGTTTAAAATAAATTTAAAAATGAAATAAAATGGAAGTGATCTTTCTTATTAAATGACATTGTGTTAGCAAAATCATGACTACAATTTCTGCTATGTTTTAGATGATGGATAGTGTAATGCTTTCCAGGTACACTCGTATATGCTTTGATTGCTTTCATTCTAACTGACCATCCTATGTTTGCCCTATTCTAGGCTTTGCCAATAAACGGTAATATTTTTATAGGTATAGTTATTTTTCAAGGTTTCCTAGTGGATCTTAAAAAGATTCTCGGAATAACTAGGAGATCAAGCTGCCAATATTCTATGAATTTTATCATGCTTAATTCAGTCTAGTTTATGCCGAATTTTTGATCTCATATCCACAGCCGGCATGCCGAATAATGTTTATCGAAGTTATTCATTACCTATGGATTTAATTCTTAGCTAATAATCTAGCGGCGATATTATAGATTAAGAATATGTATGCTAAGCTAAAAACTATTATCCATTAAGACTATTATTTACAGATCCTCTTAATTTAATCTTTGATATATTTAGAAAGTGACTAAAACAAATTACCTAATTATCCAATTATTTGTGAGCTTAAACTCTGCTATGATGCTAAGGTGGAGCATTACCGATATATCTTCAGCGAAGATTCGCAATGTATAATGTGGAAATTTCAAGATAACGTTTTTGATAACAGAAATCATTCTACACCGAAAAAAATTTACGGTTCTCGCTAGCAATGCTCTTCCGATTGCGCATAGCGTAAAAATAAAATTGTATTTCATACTTTGCATAAATTTTATTTCTCAATTTTTTCATCGATAGCTTATTTAAATTACTGTAATAATAAATTTTCGCAGCTTCACTTATCTTTATTAAAGGCTAAAATATATATATGCTTTGATGGAGAGGCAAACAGATGGTACTATCTTTTCGTAAAGTAGATATATAGCATAACCAATTCAGACTCTTTCGATTTACAGATGTTTATGCAAGCTTTATTGAAAGCATTTTTATGAATGTTGGTCGTTCTGTAAAGCGAGCAAAATAATTTTATTTTATAACTATCACTATAGACTTCATCACTATTAAAATATATTCAAGTATGTCCTAAGTAAATTAATCAGATTTCGTAATAACTTGTAATACTGAGGATTAGCGTCAGAAGTTTTTCTGAGCTATTTGTATAACATTACTTAACATAATTTACTATAAACTCAGTTCTTTTAAAGACTTACGATATTGATAAAAGCAGCTAACCAATAGGCATATGATCACTATCACTGTTACTTATTTCGACCTTTACGATAATAGTGAGACTTTCTTTCAATGTAATGCTGTAGATCCTGTTAGAAATGGTAGATAAAATGTCGGTATCTTCGATATCAGCTTACTAGATTACTTTAATTTTAGCAGCTCTATGAAAATTCCTTGTCATAGCCTGTTTATGGCTTTTCCATTCCTAAAGAATAGCTAGTATTTTCCTTTATTATCTGGTTAGGCCGTTCAATTTATTACGCTCTCTTCCTTCCACGGAGCTTCGCTAATTTACTTTGCAACTTAGTTCAACGAAAATGAAGATATGCGTAAAGTCATCTGATTACTTAACCATATGGTTATTAAATATGACCATTATCCTACTTTCACGGCCTAATTAAATTTCACTGAAAATTATCAGAATGAAAATAGATAATAGTAAAAATGCACTGAAAAGTATTACCATTTCCACATAGATTACTACTATTATCTTAAGCCTGTTTAACTTCGCCATGACTACATTAGACACAGTATCTTTACTATCTTCAGAAGATGACCATCAAAATCTAGATCAAAATCTAGAGTTAAGTGAAGACGAACGACACCTAAGTAAAGATGATTGTGATGAGACGAAGAAGACTTTGCAGTTACCCTTGTGTAATCGTAGCATTTCGAAAAATCTCGCCGGCACAATAATCACCATCATTACAGTATTTGGACAATCTGGTATGGCTATTGCTTTACCAACATTTTCAGTAGCTGTTAATACAGCTCATTGCCATAGTAATCAGTACTTTGTCTTGATTTATCCTGCAATGTGGTTTCCTATAATATTTTCCTTGATTGCCTTCGCTTCAAAAGCGATCAATCCTAAGTTTTCTCTCAAATCATATACAGCAATCAAAGCCTACATTATTTTGGGCCTTTTATGTGCTGTTAACTGCTTGTTAGTTACATTTGCTAGTCTACCAGATAGAACACCTCCTAATCTGCAAGGAATTCTTGGCATAACTATTATTCCATTTACTGTCATTTTGCGATATGCTATCCTTCGTAAGAAAGTTGGAGTGGGACGTTTGCTATGTACACTAGGCACTTTAGTTGGCCTATTCATAACTTTAGTACCGAATATTTTCAACATAGAGAAAAATAAACATCATGGATCAAAATCTGTCATTTGGCCATTAATTTTTATATTAGGAATCTTACCTGCTGCCATAGCTAATGTACTGCAAGAAAAAGAAATGAAACGTGACTATAGGGTAAGCCTGAAATGCTTAAGTTCAATCGTTAACTGAGAGACTAGAATGTAGACGCTATTAAGTGATATGAGAATTTTCAAATTTTTAAAATACGAGTATACTAGTAGTATAATAAAATACCTGTACGCATGTAATTTACTGTTAACGAGTTACGGTTAGTCTCTACCTTTGATAAAATGCTATAATAAAATTTGTAGGAGGAAAGTTTAGTATTTCAAGCATGGGTTGCCTGGTATAATGTATTCTTCTTGGGTTTACTATTTTGGACAGGCTTTATTCCTCATTTCGGGCAGGTAAAGCAACTATGATTTTATCAAGAGATATATTGCAACACTTCAAAGATTTTACTGCTATGTTGTAAATTTTCTATCTCAATACAGTTGTCACAACCCTCACTTGTGGCAAAGGAAAGTAAAGAACTCTAGTGTAGTTACTTAAAACTTGGGCTATTTCTCCCAGTACTTTCAGTTTCTATGAGAGAAGTATTTGAGAACTCGATTTCTCGGCTGATCTCCACAGACAACTGACTAATTATTACACTATTCTTCACGATATGAGTCTTGCCGTTTCTTGAGCAATTACCTACTTTATTCTACAAACACACGCGCTTAAATAGGTTTCTACAGTGAATTCCAATATTAACGAGTGAGAATTCATGCTTTGCAAGTTACATTAATTAGTATAATACCATTACTAAATATACATGTCGATATCCTCAGACTTAGATAGCTACAAGCTATCAGGTGTTAAGACGCTTAACCTTCGTCCATATACAGCTCAATTTTTAGAGATTAACATATCTTATAAATCTACAGTAAATTAACTGCTAACAACTTCTATTTTTATCTCATTTCTACCATCCTATTATCAGCTACAAGCGCATTAAAACATAGCACATAACCTTATCTTATCTATTCATAAACATTCATTAATTTATAGTTACTTAATTAGTAACGGCGTACCGTGACAACAGTATAAGACTTCACAATAGGAATATTTAATACATATTTGCCACAAATTACATAAGAAATTATTATGCATTGTAATTTTCATCAGGCATCTAACATACAACAATTTCAACACCAAATGGATTGCGGATTTCTGTCACAATTTGGCGGTGGTAAAGGAAAAGTACCGTCTTATCCTTGGGCACTTGGCGCTGCTTGGCTATTTATTTCTTTCTATTGCATTGCTAATCAGGCTGCGCTACTTTTACTACGCTATTCAGACGGCGCCATTTATCTAGTTATCGTTCAAGCTATAATACCTCCAATAGTCGCCATATTTTGGACTTTATTCACACTTAAAGGTGGCTTTCATTGGCATCCAAGATTTACAGATTCGAGCGCATTTGTCTTCGCTGGTATTATCGTTATTTTGCCGTGCATTATTATTTATAATTATTTGACATTAAAAGAAGAGAAAGCAGAGAGCAATAAAATCTAATACTAAAACAATGAGATGACATAGAATTATGAACTATGGGTATCTTACAGGATCTATCATATCATAATAATTAATTTTGGAAATCTCATATTACGCAGCATTCCTGGTATTTTCGATAGTAAAGCTTAATAATTTAGTAATTTAGATTGCGAAAGGTTTCTACCATGGACTACTAAATTATATGATGCATCTAGTAGTTCATGGCTTCTACGGTAGCTCAGATGAGTTCTATTATATTGAGGTAAATCGGAAGACTAACAGTCTAAATTGTGGAAGACTCTACTATCCAAAATAAATCGAATAGCTGAGTCTTCTTAGTGAAATTATGGTAACAATGTAGAATATTAAAAGTTGATGAATTCATTCGCTAAAGTAACAATAAAAATAGAAATATGGCCGTTCTACAAACGGAGTTACTTTCTACTACAAATATTGCAGAAACCTTATGTTTAGATTCCTTAACAACAAGTTACGATCGTTGGACTTCTATGACTTGTTGAATATTGCATATGATTGATTGAGCTGAAAAATTCTACACTAAATATCATTTATTTATTGGTTATATTGTATAATGTTTTAATTTTTGCATAGGCATGAAAATGTACCAAAATGAATATGATCTGATGTTCTGTCCTTTGATGCTATATCTTGATTCAGGCAGAGCAACGGATTTATAAGTATATAATGCTCCATTTTATCTTGCGAATTTTTCATAGTTAGGACCAAAGCAATCTCTATTGCATTACTTTCATCGTCTAATGAATCTTGTATTTAATTTGTTTATGAACTAAACTATCATAAGAAAACTACCCGAACCCGCACAGTTAGCTGTGTATTACATGTAATGGTTCGCCTAGTAGTGTATAATTTCGGGAATAAGTTGTCGCTGATAATTTATATATCTGTATCGTGGACGATAATTGACATATTACAGTTAGATTTGTAACTTCCTTTACTCTGTTTATGAGCTTAGTGAGCGTGCTACCGTATATACCATAAATGTATCGGATCTGAACTCTAGATGCAGTATCATCACAGACAGTAGTGAGTGTATCAAAGGTCATTGCTTACATGATCTATGTAACTATCTATATCCTCATATGTATCTGCTTATTAAAAGTATCCTTGATCTACTCTCTCTCTCTCATGATATATCTCTATCTTAGTAACAATACCTGTAACGTGTATTTGTGAAACTTCAATGAATCTGCTTCTATCCTTCTCAATCTATTGACATCTATTTGACGTAAACCAAATAACATTACAACCTAGACGTGCTCACTGTACAGTGTACGTGGAGATACATTCCTTGACCCTATTTTAAAGCCATAACCATTATCTGTGTTAAAAATTTAATAATAAACATTTAGATCTATTGTTAGGGTTCTTAGCCGACTATTCTATGTTAATAGCGTGATCAATAATTAACAGGGATAAGTGAAGAATTTTAAAATCATCCTGTTTACGAAAATTTCTTGTATCGATTGATATGAGTTTTAGCATGATTGAATGATAACCCTATACTGTAAACTATACAGTACAGTACAATACTATCACCGTCAATCGTTAATATTCTGTACTAGTATACTATCAGATTTTGCGGGACTCTGGTATATTTGTACCTTTTACTTTATATTATCTATGTCTCACCATGGTCACCATTAGTCACTATTATGGTATGATTGCAATTTATCAAATCCCTACGTTACAAAGTTAATTCATTATTGTAATAAAGGGATATTCTTGCAAATGAAAATGAAGCATTCTTCTATCAAAGATAGCAACCTGTACTTTATATGGATGCCATATTTAAATTAATGAGATCTGTAAATAATTCCATAGCTGTTTGTATCAATACAGCTTTAAAAGCATAAATTGTACATTATCGTGGAAAGAATTATGCCCAGTAGTAGTACTAGAAGGTGCCGAAAAGGCATGAGCTAACTTAAGATAAATAAACAAAGCTTGTCACGATTGCAACGTGCAATCAATTTTTAACCAGTTTCACGTTTAGCAATGGCACGGAAAAATCTATTACTAATATTTATTATTGGGTCATTTTTAAAATTTCCCTTAATCGGATGTAATGGTTAGTAGAAAAATAGAGTTTTAATAGAGTGCAGTACTTTTACAGTATCGGTTAAATCTACCACAAGGTAACTAAATAATATTCTTACAAATCATTTTGACTTTGTTAAATATGTTAGATGCTAAAGAGACTTTATTAACGCTCACGGTAGCAAGTGATTGCACCGATGGATTCCAAAGATTTAATCGGTCATGCAGAATTTACGATTTAAATTGCAAGGTATTGCTAAATGCAGTATTTGCGCAGTTTCTTAGTAATGTGAATACGAGTATAACGATCACAAGGATTAAATAATAGTCATCTATCTAGATTCTTGGTATGAACAAAATATGGAAAGGTGGCAGCATGGAATTTCCAGGTGGAGGCTATAAAATTAATCTCTTAAGAAGAGAACTCGAGCGTTTAAAAGACAAGGATGATATTATAATCGTTACAGATAGGTTGAGATTATTTTCCATAATATCAAAAGCCGTACTACGATATAAATATTTTTATCTGTAAGCATGAACCGCATTGTGTAATTCATTTTTTTCATTTACCTCAATTATTTAAGTTATGATGTCATCTATACCGCTGGAACTCAAGAAATATTGGAAAAGTTTCATCAATTTAATGCTAATGTAGTTTTTGGTGCGGAGCCATATTGCTGGCCCAATCAGGAATTAGCTAGTGTATGAATTTAAGTGTTGATTATATTCCAACATAAGTGATATTAATGAAATATTAGATAGCTGTTGCTTTCTCACTCACAAGCCTTGTCGGATAACTCATAATTTGGTTTAGTTATTCGATATCCTATAATCGCAATATTTATAAAATAGTTAATGCAATACCTTATTGTCTAAGCACAGTATCTATCACGTTTCAGGTAGTATATAAATTTGTAATATTCTGCAATAAGTAGAGTGTCTTTATCTATCTTTAGCTATACAACTTTATACCCAAATTATCACAAATAAGTAGGTTTTACCTAGAAAATCCTAATTAAAGTATTAGATTCAAATATTCATACGCGAATTTGTCTAACAAAAGAATATTATGGAAATACTCATGCATACAGATGGCTCTTCGCATAATATTCATATTAGTTTATCAGGGTGTTTCATTTTCTTTTAGTTATATGTTGGATTCAGAATATCATTAATTAAATACTGCATATTGTTCAAACCGTTAATATAATATCATAGAGTCAAAGTATGCTATTCCTTGGATACAATGCTATTGATCTATACTTAATATTTATCATCCTTCTCAAAGCATTACCCAGTGGTTTCGTCTGGAAAACGATTCTTAAATTCTGGCGGTAAGTAAAACTTTCAACGATTTATTATTATTTCATTTTTGAGACTATTATTACAAATGATGCCGTAGGCTTTATCGGTCATGCAAGAACAATTTACGAAATAATCACCTATCGGTCAATTGAAGATAGTGATGATGATCAGCTATACTATACCGAGATTTATCTCGATTCAAAATTGAGGGTGAGCAATCTGAGACTTAATTTTGCGACAATGATGTATGCATAAATGTAATAAGAATTGAAACATCGCTCCGCAAATAAATATCATAGTAATAGAATTGATTCGTTATTATCATTAGGATAAGTGGAATATTAAACTTGATCATAAAAGTGTCCTATTTCATAATCTCAATGGTGCTCAAGGTATTTGGCAAATTCAACCTTTATCCACATTAATGATCGCATTGTGATGATAGTATATCTTGATACCGTGAAATTAATATTCTAGTTAAAATGATGATAAAATTCGTCAATATCATTAAATTTTGTCAGAGGAAGTCAATCTAATTCCAGACAATGGTGGTAAATATCGATTATTTAATGAAGTCTATCAAACTTTACCTATTGCAGTTCACGGCAATGGACCTACTAAGGTATGATATGCAAATAGAAGACATTGTTTACAATAATTTATCAGCTAACAGAAGGGATAATTTTTGATAATTTCTAGTGTGTTACATTTTTGCCTACAACAAAAATTGCATTAAGATATCAGAACTTGAAATTTATTGCTATCTATTTCTAATTTTTAACAAGCTACTTATTTATTTCGTTTTACATCCAATATATCATACCTAATTCTATAGGAAGTGAGCTTAAATTATTTTGGCAACTATTTGGCAAATTATTGGAGTTTTAATGACGGATGTATAGCATGTAAAGAGAACACCATTGAACACTTAAAGGTATGATATATTTCACAGTTTTATGGCTTTATTAGAATGTTGCAAGCTATTTAATCAATAACAAATAAGAATAAACGTTCTTTAATTATAAAATAAATAGAAAGACCATTATCCAAGGCTTTCTCTCGCTATATTCATCCACAAATCTGCACCGTTTACGGATGTATTTCTGCAAAGATTATCAAATCAGCAATATCCAAAAGATAAAATTGATTTATTTCTTCATATAAGTGTATGCTTGTTTTGCTTCGAATTAATCATTTATAAATTTCAGTATTAGTATAGAAGCTGTGTAGGCAATATTTTATTTTCTTGACAATTCATTTATTATAATTTATTAATTAATCGGATAAAATTGTCGAATTTATTTTTATTTCATCGTGAAGATTGACCACCATTTGAAAGATACTCTTGTATGGTGGAAGAAATATTCCTCGCTTTATGCTAGTCAAGAGCTAATTGTACCATCAGATAAGATCAATCCAAGTAAAGCAAGAAATTTAGCCATGTACGCATATATAAACTATATTAATGTTGTGACCTTCTATTGCTATCATAGCATTACAACTGCTAATCAATTTAATAAGAGTATAATGCTGATAATGTGAAGTCTTCAGATCATACATATTTAAATAATTGTAATCTTTACTCCTTTTAATTTTTAATAAATAATTTGGAAATAGGGAACAATGTCAATCCTCCAACTGTGAATATTTCTTCTCGATCGAAAATGATTGTATGTTAACAAACAATGAAACATTTAAATTGTTAATGCACTATAACAGGTATGAACGTTGGGCATTTACGAAGGTGTATTGCTCTCTAGAAGGGATATTAGACACTTAATTTTTCAGATCCCTATCATTTGCTTTCTTCTATTCTTTTTATCCCATTAGCAATGCTAATTTTTTAATTAGTAGTAATTAATTTTTTGAAATCTAGCACTATAGTGTCACCTTTACTGTTTATATCCGGCCGGCTATGGTCCAATTTTTGGGGAGCTATTGATCAGAATGGGTATTATGCAAGGTCGAAGGATTACATCGATATTGTTGAAGGTAGAAAGCGGTATGTTATTTAACGCTTTTAAGATATGCTACGGCATAATATTAGATTGACGATCTATTCTTTACTTATAAACGATTACTTTTTATTTACATATAATAATATTTAAGCACGTAGTGTATCATTCAAGGGGATGTTAGCTACTAGTATAATCTAGTAAGCATACTGTATGGTCATATCGTAAATAGTTTTAAATATCTTGTATGTAATCGAACACCAAGAATCACTTCATTGGTGCCTATTTTTGTTGTTGTAGTTTAAATTCTGAGATACTGGTAATAAAGTAATTTACGAGTATAGATTATAGTAGTTTTCATAAAATTCTATATATAGGTCCATTATAATTGCTTTCAGCTAGTGTCAGTTTTACTTTATAATTTATGTTACTCAACATTTCAATTAATAAATTTAAAGAGGAATTTGGAATGTTCCTTACATTCGAGGGGCTTATATGATCAATAAAAGTCATTTAAAGATGCCAGATCTAGCTTTCGATGAAGAAGGTGACTTTGATATGAAGTGGTGTGCAAAAATGCGAAAATCGGTAGGCATATTTACCTTGACTTTAATATTTGCCATCACGTATGGTAGGTGTCGACAAAACCTGACTTGATATTATCTATTTTTATGCTATAGGGTACCTTCATGTATGTTAATAATATGCAAATATTTGGTCATTTACTAAATTTAAAGAGCTATTCTATAGATCATTTGCATAATGATTTATATCAAATCATCGACAATCAACCTGTAAGTAGAAGACGATAGGTAGCAGCTTAACTACTCTAAGCTTGCCTTTTACATTTTTGCTTTTGGGCCAAATTTTTGAATTTCATATGTAAAAATAAACTAGATTCGCTTTGAAAGCTGAAATTGAATTTTTAAAGTACCAATTTTGATCTTAGCTCTTGTCGCTTTTCAAATCAGCCACAATCAGATTTTCAAGACTATCCATCACTTTTAAATCTATTTTATTTCATTACGCCTTTTATTTTTTTACAACATACGCAAATAAATTATAATAGTTTGACTCAGTTCCACATTAATCTCAATAGGCAATTTTACTGTCATTTGATTAAATAAGTATTGTCACTTTTTCATTTATTATTGCACCGTAAATTTGCCGCTAAAGTAAGTGCGTGAACATGCACAATTGCGTGCATTAGGCATTAAATGCTTTCCTTGATATCTTATTATAAATAGGATTGGGAAGCAAAGTATATACACGAGAATTACTCAATCAATTTGAGGGATGATCATGAAATTCAAATGGTATAGTGAGAAATGAAACATCAATCAACTTTAGCACAAAAACTATTTATTTTGATCAGTTATTAACATGATTGTTTCTTAATTGAAACCGTTTATTTGTTGTGCATTCCATTTGTGATAGCCATGCTCCGATGTCTATTGGTTTCCAGTTGTATCTGAAATTTTTTGTAAACATCTGGTGGAGGTCAGTATCCAATAACATTAGCAATCATCGGTTTCTTAGATTGCGTTTCTTAAATATTCTATCTTCCTTTTTGCAATAGGAAATGGAAAATTTTGGCCAATGGTCCGCCGGAGGCCATAAAGTACTGTATTTAATCGTAATGTTGGTTTTTGTCAGAGATTATGGTTAAAACCCTCTCATACATTACCGTTGTAACTATCCAACCTAATACCTTACAGTCCTTCTGAATGAACTAATAGATCACAAACTTATCGTTTATCTGTTTATTTAGGATAGTCGGTTGGATGGAGGCTATGAAAATGTTCCGACGCGCGACATTCATTTGAAACAAGTTATACGAACTATAGCACATCTACGTCTATTTTCCCTAAATATCTATTAACTTATCAAACTTTGGCAACCGTCGTTATGTGTTTCTCTTTTTAGATCAATTTAGAACAGCAATGGCTCTATTTTTTACAGAAATATATCGTCCCTATACAAGCTAAAGTTTACCCCGGATTTTATTCCAAAGTAAACATTTCATAATTATATTCGAATACTCTAAGTATATCAACTTTAACAAGTATCTGCACAATGTTGATACATTTAAGCTCAAGTTCAAGTATTTTTCGATGGTCAAATATTAATCGTTAACTTTTCAATCTATGGATGAATTTTAATTTTAGGGCCATGCTTTTATGAATTTTGTTGTAAGGTATCATCCTACAGGGCAGCCATCACTGCGCCCTCACCATGATGCATCGACCTATACCATTAATATTGCACTAACGAGGGCAGGAATAGATCATGAGGTTCAGCCTATGCATACCAGTAGATTAGTTAAAATCCGATTCTACGAAAGTAACGCATAATTTCAACTTTAATGAAGTTTATGATAACGATATCGTTTCTGCTTATGATTGAACAATAAATTAGGGTGGAGGTTGTCGATTTCTAAGACAAAATTGTAGCGTTGTTAACACTATGCTTGGATGGTCTCTGATGCATCCAGGCAGATTAACCCATTATCATGAAGGATTACCAACTACTAAAGGGACAAGATATATTATGGTCTCGTTTATTGATCCTTGATTGGAGCATTTGAAGTATAGACAAAAGAATTAAGTGGAATCACCTTGAACACGCATACAATATTGCTTCTGTTTGTATCACTCACATTTAGCCAAAGCTGAAAAAGTATTTGCTGACTCTGTCTATTTTTTTTAAGTAATAAAATTAGTATACGTACTACACAATCATCTATACCGGTATACTCTTCTTTAATTTGCTGCAACTGTAGTTAACTGATTTCTAATTTGTTGCTATTCTGATGTTAGATGCCCGTGTTGTAGAGTATTTTTTAATATTACCTACGATGCATCGCTGCTGCATTATGATTCATGCAGGTAATAAAATTATCTTTTTCGCCTACACAAATATCTATTATAGATACGACTCAGGTACTAAAAATACAAGCAAAGTCTTTCAAATTTATGCGCTTTCATTCTTGCTCACTCCGTAGATTGATCCACTAAAAAATTTAGTATACGTAAGCGGTAAAATTAAATTTAAATAGGTACTCGTACATTTCATGATAAAGGCCCCCCCCCCCCAAAAAAAATAATAAGCATGACCGAATATGATTTAGTGACTGTTTTTCTTAACCTATTTTATAGCTGAAAATGATCGATTGATTATAATTTTAATTTTAAAACCTAGATTTTTGAACACAGTCTAACGTGTACCGTAGAGTCCTTAAAAGGACTGAAAACGCAAGCCGATCACGATCAAATGGTTGATTTTCTAACACGAATTTTGCCCTCGAATCAGGTTCAAGTCGGATTTCTGATTGATTTTTAATAAGGGATCATATTACACTTATTAGACGGACATAAGAGGACATCATTGATCGGCAGAGCAGTTTCAGCAAGGTGTACTAAAATAAATAATCTCCCAACAACTTCACGATTGAGTGTACAGTACAGTACATGAGTGGCAATCTCGTGATAGAATTTGTTAAGGAATTCTACAGTATTTACTGAAAGTCAACTATCGCCGTTTCCAATTCTGATACAACGCCATTTTAAAAAACGACAAAAGATGGCGTTGAATCAGTAATTTCAAACGGCGATAGCTTACTTTTAGTAGACAGAATTCCTTCTAATTTCATAAGAGGAGGCTGCCAGTGATGTGCTTAGTGAAGCTGTTAGGTAATGACTAACTTTAAAAATAATTTTTGAACACAATCTATGCACACTGTGCAGTACTACCATACTGTTCGTGCTGGAAATGTGTCTGGATAAGTCACAAAATATCGCAAATAAAGAGGAGTGCGATAATCGCATGATATTATAGATCATAAAGGTATCGAACCGAACCGAACCGCTCTCAGGTCTAATCGCATCGCATCAAAAATGGAGATCGACGCTGCTGTCCTGCTCAATGTACCGTACGTACGTACGTCTGTCGTCGGTACTGGCAGCCTGTACAATGTACTGTAGGTTGTACAGTACTGTACTGTACAATGCACAATGTGCTGCATTGAGCCTTCGACTGAATAATTCTTCGATCATAACATGGGCCATTAAAATGTCCTCCACGTTAGTTCAAGAGTACAACCAGATGCAACTAACTTGAACTAACAGTCCCCGACAGCATCGAGGGGCAACCAAGCAATTAAATAGCCGATTTAATAGAAAACATGGAAAAATAATGCTAAACAACGTAAGTCGGTTTGTTCTATTACAGAACAACCGTGGAGCATGGACTACAGTACAGTACTGTACTGTACAGGGCCTACAGTACACTGAGTACAGTACCGTACTGTACTGTAGTCATGATCGTGAAGAGTACGCATGTGCATAATATAACTTATGATGGATGGATGGTTGCAGAGTGAAGTAGAGTGTTGTTAACAGTGACTAGTGTCCATACTGTACTAACTTAAAACTGTCCACTACTATCCATTAGTATGAGCTGAGCTGACGGCTGTCTGCGGCATGCCTACAGTACAGTACAGTCCAGTAAAGCAAAAACAGGCAACAATCTATGCGCAAACGCATGCTTGACTATCAACATAGTAGACTTTCCTAGCCGACGACGGTGTTATGGCCGATAAATTCATCGTTGGATTGAAAAGTCGGAGCGATGAAGTCCGATTAAGGGCTGCCAAAGAATTACAACGCTCGATAACAACAGAATTACGTGAAGTATCCAATGAAGAATATCAAAGCTTTTGGGATGAGTTAAATCATCAAATTTTTGAGTTAGTTTCAAGTAGTGATGTCCACGAGAAAAAAGGAGGCATTTTGGCAATAAGTAAGTTGTTGATGGAAAGATGGACGTGTAGCGTCATGATTGATAGCAATCGCTCGATATTATCAAAAGTTATACTGGTATAGAGTAGAACAATGTATTAAGAGCTAAAAGTGAGCTTATTCTGAACTAACTGCTTGTCATGTTCAATAGAATAACAATCCAGTAGTTGATTATCTTCCATGCTGCTGCTTTTAACTGTAGCTTGTGCCGTACAACACTGGTGCAATGAGCAGTATTACAGTATCAATTATACTGTACTGTACTTGCTTTGCATCTTGGACTTGACAGCAGAGTACCAGTGTTTATATGCTGTAATAGTGTCATTAAAAAGAAGTTTTATCATTGTAAACTCTTAAAACGTTTCATAAATAGACAACACTTGTAGCATTTCTGTATATGCATAGTATAGTGGTAGCAATAACTGCCATAGTATACATTCCGATCTTTTTACAACAATAAGCAAGAGTAGCTAATACTGCTGTACTACAGTATATTATTGTCTTATATACAGTAGGTCAAGTATTGTCATTATTGTAACAATTTGTCCTTTCATGGTACTTTCTAGTTAGTTTAATTGGTGTGGATGGAGGAAATGCTCCAACCAAGATTAGCCGATTTGCTAATTACTTGCGTAATCTATTGCCATCGAGTGATCCCTCTGTGATGGATATGGCTTCCAAGGCCGTAGGATTGTTAGCTTTAGCTGGTGGCACATTTACTGCTGAATATGTCGAATTTGAGGTTAAACGAGCTTTGGAATGGTTATCTGGTGAACGTCATGAAGGAAGGCGCTTAGCAGCGGTAGTTTGGAATTCTATATTGTGTATATTGCAATTGATATACCCATTGACTCCCCACTAATTACTTTTTTTCCACCTTATTAATTGATTCGATTGTAGGTTCTAGTTTTGCGTGAATTAGCGGTGAATGCTCCCACTTTTTTCTATCAGCAAGTCCAATCATTTTTTGATAATATCTTTAGTGCAGTCCGAGACCCTAAGGTACCTTGTGAAAATGGTTCTTCCAACTTTTTCAATGCCGGCTATAATTAAATAGAAGCAAATTGCGATATCATCAAGCAATCTTAAGAGCTACTCAGATACTAAAGATACTTGTACTTCGTATGATCATCACTATTATAATAATGTCAGAATTATAAATAATTATTATTATATCAATATTATTGACAATAGCATGTTCCTTAATTAACTTCTTAACAACTCGTATTAGTAGTCAAGACCATTATAATCTTCGTTTCACACAATACTACGATACTGTAATCTGGGCAACGCTAATTGATCTATATCGTAAACAATAGCTGTTCAATTCATTCGCAAGACCTTACCTTTGCTAGTTATATATATATTAATATATCATTTGTAATTCGATCTGATGTCCTAGTGAACATTGACATTATAGTATTGATTGTTCGTATGGATACTAATTGTGTAATTTCTAATATATCTATTAGCAATCTATTCGAGAGGCAGCTGTAGAAGCCTTGCAAGCTTGCTTTGTACTTACATCTCAAAGAGAAACAAGTTCAGACCACTACCCTGTATGGTATCAGGTAATAAAGAGTTAATATACGTATTTAGGGTATCCTAAATTTAAAATCTAAGTCATTATATGTTATGTATCTTCAATTTTCAGTCTGCGTATGACGAAGCCTGGCGTGGATTTCGTGATCCTGGCTCTGGTAAAGAAAAAGGCGTTACTCTGAGCCGAGATGATAAAATGCATGGTTCGTTGTTAATCATTAACGAATTGTTAAGAGCAAGTAGTAGCGAAGGAGAGGTATGTAGTTCTAGCCTACAATATCAACTAAAATATCTCCACATGCCTATCCCTACCTTGCTTTTCATATACGTAATAAAATCGATCTAATTTTAGCGATTGCGACGTGAAATGGAAGAAATTATGGTACAACAATCAACAGCTGGTGTTGTTATACGACAGCATCCAAGCATACAAAAGTCTGCAATGTATGGCAGCCCTGGTCAGCAGGCATTAAATTCCGGCCGATTTCTTGATTTATTTGATTCTGAGAATAGTACTAGTATTGATTCTAAGTTACGAAATCGCATCGTCGGTTTCTGTCAAAGTCAATTTTGTCGGACATTCATGCTTACCAAATTCCCTGAGGTACGTTATGCAGTACTAATGTATTTCGTAACGCTCTACATTTTCACCGGGACAAAACTGATGTACTTAGTCTATATCTGTTGATTTATATGCCCCCAAAAAGTAGTCATTGCACTTTCATTTAAATGGGTACTGCAGATTTATTTTCATATCCAGATGATTTTAATCAGTTACCTCTCATAGTTATATAGTATTTATTTTGAACTTTATCACCCAATTGTTAGATTTCTGTCCAAATCATGAAATCTTTTCGAAATCATCGCAACAGCCTGATTCAGCAAACACTACTGATTATTTTACCTCGATTGTCTGCGTTCCAGCCGCAAAAATTTGTTGATACGTAAGTACAGTATTTTAGGCTAACTCGAAAGTTATCATTTTGGATAGAATAATTAGTCCCAACCAATAATTGTATCATTAATAGATGTTGATCTATACTTTGTTTTTATAGACTCTTGGATGATGCCATCAATCACTTACTGAGTTGTCTAAGGAAGGTGAGCGAAAATATTGTCACTACGTTTTCGTTTCGATATGTTCGCAATTCGCGCATTTTGTAAATATGCGAACTTCAAATTCAAATTTTTATAATTTCATTTGAATTTGTAATTTACAATACGGATTAATCTAGGACAAGGAAAGATCTTCCGCTTTTCTAGCTCTTGGATTATTAGCTGTCGCTGTAAAGAAAGATATTAAGCCATATATTACAAAAATTTTTGAGAATATTAAAGCTGCTTTGCCGCCCAAGGAAGTCGGACACAAGTGAGTACTCGTGATTTAAAATTATCCATTCCTATCCTGTTAACTGCTAATTTGACGGCTTCTGTTTTTGTAGGCGCCACAAAGTCGTTACAGTTGATCCATCAGTCTTCATTTGTATAAGTATGCTAGGGCGCGCTCTTGGTGTAGAGATCAAACGGGACATTCGAGAACTGATCGATCCAATGTTATCGGTCGGCATTAGGTATCCGTACCGTTCAATATCACCGCTACAGTATTTAAGATGTTGTAGTGCGACAGATACAGCAGTGATCATGAACGTGACTTAACTTAGAAAATTTTTGTATTAGTATCCTTATTTACTTCATTTTATATCATTTATTGAAGTAAGTGTTAACGGTACCTGCTTTTAATCAGATAAAATGTTACGTAATTGCACATGCGTCTTACAAAAAACATTTAAAGTGAATAAGATTGTTACTTACGCTTTAAAATCTATTCGAAGATATATAACTGTTTACAATGCTTTAATGTTTCTGTAGCTTTGATTAGATTTGATTATTTCAATAGCTTATTGATAGCATATAGATTGTAGAGCTATACAAGTAAAGACTACAATATTCACAAAACATATTTTGCTGGATCTGTGAATGCGATGAAATTGTTTTCTCATTGTTAATCTTGCGTAACTTTCAGCTCTAGTCTCGTTGCCTCTTTACGGGATATCTCAGTTCAAATTCCTCCTTTAAAAAACGATATACAAGAAGGTTTACTTAAAATCTTATCGGTCGTACTAATGCATAAGCCTTTGCATCATCCTGGTATGCCCAAAAGTATGATTCCGGCTCTATCAAAGTCCGGTTAGTAGATATTGTATAGTCATTTTTTTAATGCTGTACTAGTGGGCTTTTTTATTAATTAAGCTTGCGACCTTCCTCGTTGATAATCTGTATCATGTAGATGACGTCTCTGATGTAACTACCATTACTCTCGCTATACGTTGCCTTGTTAATTTCGACTTTGAAGGTACGGACATCAGTACACGTTGTTGCTCGCACCTAATGTAAATCTAATTCTTTCTACTACTAACTGGGATTATTTTTAGGAAAGTCTCTTACAGAATTTATCAAGTATTGCGCAGAGAATTATTTATTTAATGACAATAGAATTATTAGAATAGAGGCAGTGCGGACATGCTCTCAATTATTAAAACCAATACCGCACGTAAGTGATAGAACGACATGTGCAATTCTAATGCTATTTTCGCTCGTTTATCGGCTTGAGGGCTACTTCAAAGCCAAAGCTGCCATAAACACTGAAACTAAGCGTTCTTGTTCTTATCGTTATTATTTACTTATAGCCTCTTGTTCTTGGCCAGCAGTATGACGTCGTTAGTACAAATTCAATGCATTTAGTTAATGAAATATTAATGAAATTACTTACGGTTGGAATAACAGACCCGGGTAAGCGAGTGCAAATGATGAAGCCATTTGGATTTATAATTTGTAATGTAACGTTTGAAATTATGCAACTAAATGATAAGAAATTGTCTGTAGATCCCGACACTCGATATTGTGTTATGTCATCGTTGGACGAAAAATTTGATACCTATTTGGCCCAGGCTGAAAATTTGCAAATGCTTTTCATTGCTATTAATGATGAGGTAAAAGAATCATGTATAAGAAGTATTGAAATTCTACTGTTAATTTCAGTCTTTGCATAATCATGATCAAATCTTTAGGTATTCGAGATTAGAGAGCTAGCGTTATGCCATATTGGACGTTTAAGTAGTCTTAATCCAGCGTACATTATGCCATCCTTGCGAAAGACTCTAATGCAGGTAAAAAGTCTTCTAAAACCCCGCAATGTATAAGTACAGTATTCTTAGAGTCTATATCGTGCTTCAATAATTACATAGTTGTTTTATATATTGTTTTAGATATTAACAGAGCTTAAATTTAGTGGACTTGGTCGCAATAAGGAACAAAGTGCTCGCCTGTTAAGTCTCTTAATATCGAATGCTCCTCGCCTAACCAGACCATACGTCAAGCCAATTATAAATACCTTATTACCCAAGCTCAAAGAAAATGATCCTAACCCAGCTGTTGTTGTCAATGTCTTATCAGCAGTAGGCGAGCAAGCACAGGTAGTTTTGTTAAGGTTTTAGTAGCGAGCGTTTACTTATATATTGACTTTATGCACATTCTTTAATGCAATAAGTGTACGTACTTTGTAGGTCAGTGGAGAAGAATTAATAGAATGGATAGAAGACTTGTTCCCTATTATTTTGGATATACTGCAGGATTCCTCCAGTTCTTCTCTAAACAAACGTGAAGTAAGTTCAAATTGTTATGTATATATGCTTCGTCTCTCGGTCACTTGTTAATTACTTGATATGCCCAATTGTTAGGTTGCTTTGCGTACCATGGGTCAGGTTGTCGAAAGTACTGGGTACGTTGTTGATTAGCAATATTAACGCAGTATAACCAATCTGTATGAAATGTTTTTGTTCTGTGCGTAAAGTCAATTCATTTTAGAAATCTAAATAATATAAACCTTATGGACATGATTATACCATATCCATTGCGGTCAACAGATTGTGTATCATTGAAAATCTGTCTTATAAAAAGTCCTACGCCAAAGATTACGATCTATTAAATCTTCATACTACTGCAATGTAATGAATCTCTTAATGAATTCAAAAATTAATCAAAGGTCGTCCTGATTTATAGATATGTTGTCGAACCCTATAGTCGATATCCGAACTTATTGGAGACTTTGCTTAGCTTTCTGAAGACAGAGCAGAGTAAGAGTATACGGAGAGAAGTAAGCGGTCTGCAGCTAGAATTATTTAACCAATTGTGGATGAAATTAAATTCTTAAATCCATTTTGTTTCCATCAGACTGTTAGAGTATTAGGTCTTTTGGGAGCTCTCGATCCTTATAAACACAAGGTTGATCGAATGAAAAGATCGAGCGATATTTACAATGTTCAAGATGTTCTCATTCCGGAAACTAAAGGATTAGCAGATCCTTCCAGTATCGGTAATAGACTTGCAATTTTGCGGTTGCTATTGTAGTTTAGAAAGTCTATTTATAAGTTATCCAACTCTTAAATATCTATCGGGAATGATTTATCTCATCTATTTTCCGAAATAAATGTGTTTAATACATCACTAGGTGAATTAAATGTGACAGAGATGCTCGTTTCAATGAGCTCTGTGCAAATGGATGAATTCTATCCAGCTGTGGCGATAGCGGCTTTAATGAGAATCCTTAAAGATTCATCTCTATCGTCTCATCATAGTATGGTAGTTCAAGTACGTCAACCTAACTACCTAACTGTATTAGCTATTCTGAAACATTTTTAAGCGATACTTTATTGTGAAAATTAATTTGGTGATAAAATGTTTTGATAGGCCTTCAGTTTTATCATCAAGAGTCTTAAAATCAAATGTGTGGCTTTTCTACCACAGGTGAATAAACACTTAATGAGGATCTTATACAGTAGATGTTAGAAATCTAAATACTAAAGCAACACATTTTTTTGTAAACTTAGATTGTACCTACATTTCTAAATGTTGCGAGATCATGTGATACCACTCTGAAGGAAGTGAGTGAGATAAAAACTGCAATAAGACATACTGATAATTAAATCGTGTAGCGAGACATTAACTTATTGCTCCTTTCGCTATTTTAGTCTTTGCTTCAGAAGCTGGGTGTACTTATCTCTCTTGCTAAACAACACATTAGAAATTACCTGGTAGATATCTTCCAATTAATTCAGGTAATGTAGATATTGAGCCTTTGTTACCCTTAAAATATCAATTTTTGACATTAGTACTTAAATCCTTGTCTACAATTAATGAATATACGATATAGTTGCTATCAAAAATGCCGAAATTCTTAAAATATTTTAATAATTAAATATCATGGATATAAACTCTGTATGGTATTGTGCTATCCATCTTGATGTAGGAATGTTGGACAGTTAATAATCCTATGCAAAACACGATTATAGCTTTGCTAGAGCAAATGGCAATAGCTCTAGGAAGTGAATTTAAGGTATTATTTGTTCTGAACTTCTTTACTATCTATGCACTTATTTATAGTAAAACAACTTACTATATTCTGTCCTAATTATATCCTAGGTTTATCTGCCTCAAATTATACCGCAGATATTGAAAACCTTTATTCACGATAATAGCCATAATCAAATTGTTACAAATAAGGTATATGTTTTCATAGGATGGTTATCACCATGTCATTTTGTCGATAATTATGATAGACTTCGAAGCTAATTACGTTATTTATTTCTCTTTGCCTTTTTAAGCTTTTAATTGCATTGCAATCATTTGGTAGCAACTTAGACGACTATCTTCATCTACTGTTACCACCTATCGTGAAACTTTTCGATTCCAGTAATCAAGATATATCGTTAACCGTACGAAAGTATGTCTGCTTTTATGAACCTACTTATGCCCCTAAATTTTGTTATTCTTTAGAAAGTATTTTTGCTCGCAATGGTTAATTTCAATTCTCTCATGCTTTTTAGAACATCATTGGAAACTATCGATAAACTAATCGAATCATTAGACTTCACCGATTATGCGTCGCGCCTCATTCACCCAATTATCCGTGCAATTGATACCTTGCCCGAAGTCAGATCGTCTGCGATGGACGTCCTGTGCTCTTTAGCATCACAATTTAATGGCAAATACAAAATATTTATTTCTATGGTAAACAAGGTAGGGAAAGATAATATTGCCTCTTGATCGAAATTGTCTTATTTGCGTTAATACATTTAACGCTTCCTTGAATTTTAATAGGTATTGCAAAAACATAGGATACAACACTTAAAGTACGAAAGTGTTGTCAGTAAAGTTTTGAAGGTAATTGTATTGCAATATTTACGTTATAAGCTACTCTAAAGCTATCTAGGTCTTTAAAATTTGGCTGTGTTTCGTTTTCCTGTTATCGTATAGAGTTCTCATACAGTTGACTCTGAATCAGTATTTTCGGCTCGCCCGCGGCGTTCGACAACTTTAATGTCCGAAATGGCTACTACTAATAATACTGAGAACAATACCATAAAAAAGCTCTATGTTAGCGCTGATAACTTGAAAAGGGTCAGTTACTGTAGATATTACAACAGATTTTAAAAATTATTCGATTGCGGCATTCTATCGATGTCCGGATCTCAGTAGAGTTTATCTTTCAAAAGGCCTGGGAACCTGGAAGACGCGTTAATAAAGATGACTGGACAGAATGGCTAAGACGGCTGAGCGTTGAATTGTTGAAAGAATCACCTTCTCCAGCATTACGATCTTGTTGGTCTTTAGCTCAAGCTTATAGCCCGCTTGCTAGGTCATATAAACTTAAGCGATATAATCTGAAATAGTTATTGATAGTGCTAAAGTTTTGTCATTTAACATACAGAGACCTTTTTAATGCCGCATTTGTTTCATGTTGGTCTGAATTAAATGAAGAACAGCAGGTTTGTGATCATGGAATTTATATAGAAAAGTATATGGTAGATGTCTTCTTGTATTAGCTGCACTATGGCTTAAAATCAGAATTTAAAACAGGATGAGTTAGTGCAAAGTATTGAAAAGGCTTTGGAGTCTCAAAACAATCCTGAAATTACTCAAGCCTTGCTTAATCTTGCCGAATTCATGGAACATTGCGATAAGGTAATCTTTCTTCAACTTCACTTTTAATATACAACAATGAGGCGATAATTTTGCGTATATTGTTATCAAAAAATAGGGCCCATTGCCACTCAACAATAATGAGTTACTAGGTGACTGTGCTTTAAGGTGTAGAGCATATGCTAAAGCTCTCCATTACAAAGAGGAAGAGTTTCATCGAGAGCCGACTCCGAAAACATTAGAGACATTGATAGGGTACAATCTTTAACGGCTAATATTTATTGTTGAATGTTGTTTTTTTGTAATTAACGGCAAACATTTTATTTGTAGTATCAATAATAAATTACAACAGCCGGAAGCTGCCGCTGGAGTCTTAGAATATGCGATGAAAAATATGGGTGCAATGGTATAACCTTTAACTTATCTAAATCATACTATCTATAGTCCGTAAAGTATTCGTAAATTATGTTGAATTTGATACACTTCTTCTGTTTGTAGTCGGTAGAAGAAACTTGGTATGAAGAGTTAAATGAATGGAATAAGGCATTAGATGTTTATCAGAAAAAGCAGGAGCAGGGTAGCGATGATATTTCAATTACACTTGGGCACATGAGGTGCCTAGAAGCTCTTGGTGAATGGTACGCTAGTATCTGCTAACTTAATCTGATCGTTTTCTTCAATGTCATCTATACGGCAATGAGAAAATTACTTTTGTTTGCATATTTTAGGGGACAGTTATATAATATAGCATCTGAACGTTGGTCTATTGTCGATGACGAAACCAAACAAAAGATGGCGCGGATGGCTGCGGCTGCCGCATGGGGTTTAGGTATCATGTTTATATTATATATTACGCCTTATATATCCTTAGAATTTCGTTATTGTTCTCATGGAATTATCAATATTAAGAAATCATAATAAAATATTGATAGGCCATTGGGAGAGCATGGAAGAGTACAGTTGTTTAATACCAAGAGAAACATTAGATGGTGCTTTTTACCGAGCAGTGCTTGCCCTTCATCAAGAACATCGCGTGTTGGCACAACAGGTAGATTGATTGTTGGATCTTTTGTATTCGATATTGTAGCAGATATTGAGATTACGAAATTACTAATTTTAAACATTTTAATTTTGGGATTTATAGTGTGTTGATACTGCACGAGATATTCTCGACACTGAATTAACGGCGATGTCCAGTGAAAGTTATAATCGTGCCTATGGAGTATGTAATGATATGCAATATATCTACCAATTGTAATTGCATTTTTATTTAGTTACAGTTGGCAAGCTAACTTACCCATGTTAAAACGTTTTTAGGCCATGGTGACTGCACAAATGTTATCAGAGTTAGAGGAAATTATTCAATACAACTTGATACCTGAACGTAGAGCTGCTATTAAGCAGATATGGTGGAGTCGTTTACAGGTATAGTATGATATATCACGTGTAATGTTATACAAAGGATTTAGTGGTAATAGTCGCCTGTATAGATTACACAAAAGTTCCCATTGTGACGGCAGTAGTGTGTGAATTGTAAGAATATTACAGCGATTAGTACTTAATTTTTTTATCAGTATTTGATTTATTTACAATTAACTAAAGTTATCCTCGAGTAATTACGTTGATCTATTAACTGTCACGAGTTTTAAATGGATAAAAACTTCGAACGGATTAAAGAATTTAAGACTGTAAATTACCTTTAAATCGTACGTAACTAATATGATAGAATCAAAATCCTAGTGTAAGACTATTACACTGATTGCTTATTATTTGCTTAAGTACACTGTATTACAGATATATGCTTCACTTATTTGAATTAGGGATGTCAAAATCTTGTCGAAGATTGGCAACGTATTCTTCAGGTCCGATCGTTGGTAATAACTCCTCAAGAAGATATGGAAACCTGGTTGAAGTATGCTAGCTTGTGCCGCAAGAGTAAGCGACAGGTACTGTAATATAATATCAAATACAGTCGTAAGTCTATAGATTAACTGATGATAAAACAAACTAACAAATATCGACAATCCTCTCTATCAGGCGTTGTCTCATAAGACACTAGCGCTACTATTAGGAAGTGATCCTTCCAAATACACGGATCAGCCCTTACCGACTAAATATCCTAAGGTTACATTTTCGTATATGAAACATATGTGGCTTTCCGGTCAACAAGTAAGTGTGGCTGTATTAACTAGTTTAAAAGAAAAACGATGAGTTTATTGGAAATTTTTTTGTACTAATACAGGAGGAAGCATTTCAGCACTTACAGTACTTTGTACAAACAATGATAACCCAAAATGCTGCAGTGGCATCCCTTAGCAGTAATGAAGAAACTCAACAAAGTATAAAGGAGGCAAATAACCGTCTTCTAGCAAGGTACACTGATTTTGTTACTGAATATCGCTAAAAATCGTTGCACTGCATCTCACCGGTGATGAGTTGATGATATTACTGTCACAGAATACTTTTTACGGACTTCTTGTTAGGTGTTACTTGAAACTGGGTGAGTGGATGTTATCCTTAAGCCAATTAAATGAACAAACCATTACCCAAATTATACAATATTATGCATGCGCTACTGAACATGATAAGAACTGGTACAAGGTAATTGTATCAAGTACTGTTTTAAAATGATGTTAAATGCAAATTGACATTCTGCTTAAGCTAATGAGTTGCGTTTATCTTCAAAATTTACAGGCATGGCATTCTTGGGCTTTTATGAACTTTGAAGCGTTGCTAAATATGAAAAATAATGAGAAATCTCAGCACACAATTGTTTCGGATGATTCCAAGGTAAGATTTAAATTTCTTAGTATTACATATCTCGATAGATACTGATAATTAGAAAATTGGCTTAAAACAAATATTACTTTCCGTAGGCCGGTGTTTCTTTACAAAATTATGCTGTATCGGCTGTAAATGGATTCGTAAGATCTATTACACTATCCAAAGGCAATTCTCTCCAAGATACTCTTCGGTAAGATTGACTTATTATTATCAGAATTATCATGGTTATCAGATTTTATTTATTTATCCGTTAAGCCTAAATGCATTCTACTAATTTAACTCATTTAGATTGCTAACTATTTGGTTCGACTATGGTGAGTGGAAAAGAGTGAACGAAGCCTTAGTAGATGGCTTGAAAGTTATTCAAATCGACACCTGGCTTCAGGTTTGCTTAGTACTGATATTGAATTACGCTTAAATGCTCATTGCTGATAAGGATGTTCTGTTGTAGGTAATACCGCAACTTATTGCAAGAATAGATACTCCTAGGCCGGCTGTTGGTAAGCTGATCACTCAGTTGCTTATTGATATTGGAAAGCAACACCCGCAGGTATACAATGTTTCGATAGTAGCTGTAATACACAGTAAGTTCTAATGTAAACATTTTTGAACACTGCAGGCCTTAATTTATCCTGTTACTGTATCCGCAAAATCAGCTATAGCAGCTCGTCAAGAAGCCGCTAGTAGGATCCTTAATAATATGAGGGAGCACAGCCCGGTACTCGCTCAACAGGCTGTCATGGTACATTATATAAAGCGGATATACGTATATTGGAGGACATTTTTTCAAAATTTGAATATTTTCTAAAATAGGTTAGCCAAGAATTAATAAGAGTTGCAATACTATGGCATGAAATGTGGCACGAATCTCTAGAAGAAGCTTCACGACTATATTTTGGTGAGCATAACATTGAAGCCATGTTTGCCGTATTAGAACCTCTTCATCAGATTATGCAGCAAGGACCACAAACGCTGAAGGAAACATCATTCAATCAGGTAATCATTTCAGATTTATGAAGTTAATTCTGAATAAAGATGATGTGTCTGTCAATATCAGTCAAGAAAACCGACTAATTTATTGGGTTCGAAATAGGCCTATGGTCGCGACTTGGCTGAAGCCCAGGAATGGTGTAACAAATATAAGAAGTCAAATAACGGTGCAGATCTAACACAAGCCTGGGATTTGTACTATCACGTATTCAGAAGAATCTCAAAACAATTAACACAGGTATATATGCATCACTTCCGGCTTATTAATTACGGCTATTTGATGTGTTCCATCCGTAGCAATTAAAAGTAAGAAATCCAGGCGCAAACTGTATGTGGGACTAATTAATCCCTTTTTCTTTAAGATGACGTCTCTTGAGTTGCAGTACGTTTCACCTAAGCTCCTTGTCTGCCGGGATCTAGAATTAGCCGTTCCTGGAACTTATCAACCTAATAAATCTATCATTAGAATTCAGAAAGTTCAACCATCATTGCAAGTAATAACATCTAAACAACGTCCTCGAAAACTTTGCATATCAGGTATAGCATAGATAGTGTATTTCCCTATCCCCGTATCTAGCCATCCTGTGGAGATTTATAACTATTAGTATATACGTGTAAATAAATTAAACTCTCTTGCGTTACTGCTAAAAATATTACAAAGTAATGATTACATATTTGGCATTTAGGCTGTGATGGCACCGATTACATGTTCTTGTTGAAGGGGCATGAAGATCTTCGTCAAGATGAACGCGTTATGCAGTTATTTGGCCTTATAAATACGTTATTAACGAACGATCCGGAAACTTTTAAACGCCATTTGAGGTATCTTATACATTAAACTGTATTGCCAAATGAAACTGTGCATTAATCATCAATCAAATATGATTTAAAATAAATTTAGGATTCAGGGATACTCTGTTACGCCGCTGTCGACAAATTCTGGATTAATAAGTTGGGTATCTCCTTGTGATACACTCCATGCGCTGATTAGGGATTATCGTGAAAAGAAAAAAATCTTGTTGAATATAGAACATAGAATAATGTTACGGGTAATTTTCTTCATCTTTTACAAAACTGCACATCATACGGGTGTAAACACTAAAACCATCACTTCATATTGTATTCTAGATGGCACAAGATTATGATCATTTAACTCTGCTTCAGAAAGTTGAGGTATTTGAGCACGCAATGGAGCATACGCAAGGTGACGATCTTGCAAGGGTACTTTGGCTAAAAAGTCCTAGCTCAGAGGTAAATTGATTGGGTTTCGTTTATTGAACGGCCATAAAATTTACTGTTTATACAGTATGTAATATGTACATTAAATTAAATAGGTTTGGTTTGATCGTCGAACAAATTATACGCGTTCTTTAGCTGTGATGTCTATGGTTGGATACATTTTAGGTTTAGGAGATAGGTAGGATTCGAAGTATATCTAACGATCGATTTTATAGACTTAGAGTTTGTAGGTGTATTTGATTTACGTATTTATGTTAAATCGAAAATAATTTCTAGGCATCCATCCAATCTAATGTTGCATAGACTATCTGGAAGGGTACTACATATCGATTTTGGAGATTGTTTTGAAGTATGTAATTTGTCACAAATTTAATATTGCTTTGGTAATTAGTACTAGATGGATCCGCCCTGATGCGAAGTATTTTTCTAAATTACGAATTTATTGCGTAACTGATTGTTGACATATTTTCATTCTAGGTTGCTATGACACGTGAAAAATTTCCTGAGAAAATCCCTTTTAGATTGACCCGAATGCTAATTAATGCAATGGAGGTTCGCAAAATTTGAACTACATGTATACATTACATGCGTGTAATGCATTCAGGTCGATAACATCGTTCGTTGCATGGTCACTCTGTTTAGGTAACTGGAATAGAAGGAAATTATCGAACTACTTGTAATAGTGTTATGGAAGTCCTTAGAGATAATAAGGACAGTGTTATGGCCGTATTAGAAGCTTTTGTATATGATCCACTCCTAAGTTGGCGACTCGTAGAAGGTATAATTTTCACCCGACATCATTAAAAGCAAATTGAGAGATTGACAGAACTTATACTTTCATCTTAAACTGGGATTAAATAACTTTCCGTATATGATAAGGTGCTCCAAAGAATAAACGTTCAAAAGGAGGAAATCCAGGTGTTCTTGGCCAGGCGGATAAGGGTAACCATATATTTCTAGTATCCCTCTAATAAACTTCTATTACAGTTTTAATGGATGACCGTGTTTGGTATTCTTTAGATATAGCTGATGTTACCTATGTTGGCCAAAGTACAGCAAAGTCATTTGCTGCTCAACGGGAATTGAAAGAAGCTTTAGATAGACAAAATAAACCAGAAGAATTAAATAAGAAAGCTGTTGCCATCATCAACAGAGTCCGTGATAAATTAACTGGTAAGTTTCATTGATAACTTAAATTTACTCTAAAGTAGGTTATTGTCACCAAAAGTATATAGAAACTTCTGATTGGATTCTTTCAATCGTCATACTTGTAATTTACTTGTAACAACAAACGTAATTTTTAGGAACTGATTTCTCGCGTCATAATACTCTCGATGTACCTACACAAGTGGATTTGTTGATTAAGCAAGCTACGTCTCACGAAAATTTATGTCAATGTTATATAGGGTGGTAAGTTATAAACTTGACCGTAATTATTACAGTGGACATGCATCAAGTTCGCAATACAGGCTACATTTCAGATTTTGAGCTAGTTAAGCTAAACTATGATATTATTACGTCAGTCGAATCAGTAGTTAATGTACGCAAAAAGTTTTGAGATTCGTTATGTAATTTTTAAATTTTGTGTGGTTGTAAGTACAAAATACGGATAGCGCAAGATTTAATATTCCAATGAAAACGATATTGTAGCAATCGTTACATCATAATTAATATGTAACTGTATCTGCGATGCGATTGTAATTTGATAACCTACGGCTAGATATCAAAGATGATGTGCTTGCCCGTTTTTTTTAATATACAGTACATGTACATAGTCTGAGGTAGTTAGGACAATCGTAGTTCCCAAAAGCGTACTGCTATATCGTATGTCTTTATAATTTTATACTTCTTTAAACTGTCAATTGTATGCTCCTTGAATTAGATACGATACTAATTAATTTTTTTTTATATCGTCAACCTCCAAAGGTGCCCATTCTGGTAATTTTGGCGTACTTACTCCATTTATAAGATATAATTACTTACCTTTGCGCAGGATGTTAGATATATACTACGCAGTTTTAAGGATGCCTTATATGCTCAAAAAGGCTTTATAATCATTGCATGGTATAGAGCATATTTTAATTAACAAAAGAAATTGAAATAGCTTTGTCGAATCATCTTATTTTGTATCTGTCTTCATTTAATAAGAAATAGGGTACTATCGGTAGTGTATAAAGTAGAAAGGTAACGTGGGTGATTTTGCATTCCAGTTTTGAAATGCATCAGTCTGAAAATGATATAATCGGTGTCATATCTTAACTTCCAGTAAAAGGGATTCCTAGTCGTTATTAGTAGCATACTGTACAGTGTGATAATATAATTAGATTCAAAGCCATAAAATTGATGGAAATAATACAAGACATTTCTTACTTAAAAAGATATCTACTGTAATGATTTTATTATGTTAATATATTGCAACTATTATAACATGATATAGTTTTTTATTCAATTGCCATACTGAATTATGAGTGATATTACTGGAACAGTTAAATTTATTCTAAAATGGCTAATGTTGCATAAAAATTAGTACTTGACTTTTAGATCATGGTAACAACATTAACCTATTGTAGTAGTATTTAACTACTGAAATAGCTATTTCTTATGCAATTTTGATCAATCCTTTCTATAACTGTGATTTCAACAATAAAATAGATGCAAAAATATCTACAAAATTAGCGCTATAGTAAAATAAACGTGTAGAGATCTATGAAGATGAAGATATTCAAACTCATGATTATGATTCGAAGTAGGCTTCGTAAGATACTATGGATACGTAGGTTGCGTAGGATTCTATTTGCCACGACTGCAACTCACTTTACTCTAGCTAGAAATAGTCACTTCGATTAATTTCACTGAAATAGCGGTTCACAAGTACCAACCAGGATGACTTATCAGCGTTGCCGGTGTATAAATAAACACAGCTCTCCTCTCCTATAGGCCATAAGGGATATTTACAGTATATTATGGATGTAAAAGAATTTCCCTTAATATTAAAGCTCTAGGAGGAAATCATATTCTGATATATCTGTAAATATGGCTATGATGGATTTGTGATTTAATGGTTGTGTATACTCACATCAAATCTACAAGATATTTTACAGTTAGCATCTACTTTCAAGTACGCCTTACAAATTAAGCCTAAAAATATGCATCGAATATGGTAAGTCATATCCCAAAGAAATTGTAGGATGAGCAGTGTTTTAGTTACCTCCCATAAGCTGTGGTAAAAATTTTGATATTCTTATCAGTCAACCTGTTTACGCTCCGTAGATTTTTCTACTTCTGATATCTAAAAATCTTGAAAACTGAACCGTATTCAGACCGGGCAGAGGTGAGCTAGCATCCCTACTACTAGTAGTAATCCATACTTCGATGACAGACACGAGCATACAATTCGTGAAAATAGTTTACATGATTGTAAATCCTTCAAATCCGATATTAAAGATATTAGTGTTATGGAACAAAGATCATAAACTCGCCATAGCATAACGGCAGAGTTCGGTCATACATGAAAAATTGCTCAATTATGCTAATTAGCTGCCATACAGTAGAATTAGATTCTTGATAATTCCCCTGCTTATTGATTTACAATCGGATGGTCAATATCAGAGAAGTTACTAAGAATTACTTAAAATGCCATTACTAAAATACTATATTATTATTAATAATTATTAATCATTTCTTAAACTAAGTGATTGCATATGGTATATTAATTATATATATATCTATTGCTAATAGGATATTCATAAAATACTAAGCCTATTACAATATCAATAATTCCTATGATTATATATAATCGAAAAGAGATAGTCTTATCATTGTTGATACTATACAGATTTAGTACACATTTAATGTTGTCAGAAATTGTCAAGACATTTAAGAACGTGTGTAGAATACTTTCACGTGCCTTGACCGAACTGTCGATTTCAGTTTGATATTATAACGAATAGATTTTTGAAGTCTGTAGTATTTTATATGGCTGATTTTTAGAAATTTTGTGGTTGTCAAGCGCTACTCACTAATGTTTGTATTTCTTCCGGTTTAAATTATGCCCAACTTTGATGATACTAATTAATCAAGAATGATAAAATAGGGAAGTTATTCATAAAGTAATCAGGATGTCAAATTAATGTATATTTGCTACAGTAATTGTTAAACCATTTCAGACGTCTTTTCCTAAAAGATGGATTCTTTTCAATTTTTAACAGTATAAGAACTATAGCACTGTAGATTAAACGTGTCACTAGTTGATGATATATATCGATAATATTATAATCGGGTACGGTAGTAATTACATATTGTATGTAGCTATAAATAGTATTAGAGTTAGCTGATACCATTTCCTCGGAGACTGGATAACAACAAGGTATAAAGAATCTTTGCTAGCTTTAATTCTACATCTACGCCACGTAATCACCGTACAAGAAATATCAATCAATTCTATCAACCGAAGGATCTGCTACTGGTATGGCATAAAAATTATTGCAGAGTATTTATTAGTCTTAATCGTAGCGCGTTAAAAATGATGCTGTGCCCCTTCTTTACGACTATCGACAAGGTTCCTAATCATAAATTCATAATCAAAATGATACGATATGTTGATCACCATAGCTTAAACTTATCAGTTATTGACTTACTTACGAAATATCGTATGTCTTTAATCATTTTTTAAAGTAATGATCCTTCATAAATTTAACGGATAGACTGGCTATTTGAGATAAATATGCTATAGTACCCACTATAAACTTCATAATAGCTGTGCAATTACTTTTTTAAAGTAATTATTATACTCGTATACTCCTATGCACGCGACTCTGCATGCTGTTTCCGACAGTATACATCATTTTACACTGCTAGGAAATACCTATCTTCCAAACTGTTACTGGATATATGCTGCACAAGTCATAACCTGCTCTCGAATCTAGTAATGGCTAATATATTGGTAATAGTAAGATTAGCTTGCATCAAGTTATCTCTGCTTATATAATGGCAATTTGTATTTTCACACTGCTGGTTATGCAATTTAGCTTTCATCAAATCATTTCGGCTTTTTACCGTACAGTCAAGCTTAATTTAATCCTGACTCTCTTCTAGCTGCTTGCTAAACCTCGAATTATTCCCTATAATTTACCAGTCTTGTAGCTGCATTCATTCTCTGAATGCCTACCAAGCGTTACATCGTACTGCTATAGTATCCCTAAAATTGATAAAAGTCGTAAGGTACAATTTCCTGCAAAAAGTAATAGAGAGGCCAATTCTGATTTAGTATCATAAGCAAAGACAGTAGTAGTTTAATGCAATGATCGATTTCCTTGATCTTAACAGTCAAGGGTAAGATAGTTTCGACTATATTCGTGTAGCTATTCGTGGATAATCAATTTATACGGTAGATATATTGTATCTGAATAGCTAGCAAATCTACTAAATATTCTTGCTGGTTACACATGCTACTGATATTTGTACCTTACATTTAGTAAGAGTAAGAGTAGAGAGTGAAACCTGTTTATTCCTTTGCTAGATGTATCAATTATGCTCTTAATTAACTACCCTAGTAGTTGCGGCTACATCTATCATCGTCATTTAGCCTAATCACGCGTAGTCACAAGTACGCTAAGATCTAACTTATTTTTGATATCATTTCTATCATTCTACTTGCGCGACCGCGTATACTTTGCAACAGCGTTATGTTTTATTTCCTACTTTGACAGATGTAGACATCCTTTATTGATAGATTATGGCGCATCGAGATACAGTTGATATAAAACGGATTCATTAGATATGTCGTCTGGCAAACCTTAAACGAGATTGGTGAGCATGATATACATGTAGCTGAAAAATGTCGTTGCATTTCTAATCCTAATGTGTATGCTATGCACTATTTGCAAATTTCAGATCTTTTATGCTTCGATATTAAGAATCCATAGACTTACCAATAAACAGAATAGGAAGTAGCCTCTATATTCTTCATCCCCACCCAACTTTATCGTATACTCCAGTTGCAGTATAACGTTTAGAGGGGAGCGCTAATAGCAAATAAACTTTGTACTCTTTATTTCTCTTTCGTCCCGCAAATACTCTAATTCCGTCTTTGCAAACATCTGCTCATCGATAGAATACGAAGATACCTCTTGTTACGGAGTAAGTTGATCTCTACCTCAGAGTTCATGTATAGTCCGCTCTTTATTTCATTAATCAACCATTACAATAACAACACAAAACTCCTTCAGTATAACATTTGATAATAATGTACATTCTACAGACAGTGGCTGGTAACATTGACATCATATATCCATCATATTGCTGCCAATTAATTAATATACGGTTAGAATTAAACTGATTGATAGCAGTTCCTATGATATCACATAGTTTGATAACGTATGGAATACAAACAAGTAAGAGCGTATAACAGTTTAATGATCACAACACCTCTAAGCTCTTTATTTTCTGTCCAGTTTTTATACGCTTATCCTATTTAGAAAAGCATAAAGAACCATAGATGTAGGATATTAGACAGCCTTTACATCGTATATTTTTCTCTAATTCTAACACATGCACTTCAAGTGCACATATATAGAAATTTCTCGATAAATATGACAGCGCAATGACTTCTACATCGTCCTTCCCTTGCTAATCCTAATACACATACTCCGTGTTAGGCTTATGGAAACTTTATTAGCGAATAAGATGGGAGATTACCCTTATTCGCTTCTTCTGTATTTATACTCTAATAATGTGTGTAAAATGGGTTTGTCTCCTGACATCTGCATCCTTCATTCCCTTCCTAATCCTAATACATCGTATACTTTAGTGTTAGGCTTCTATAGACTCACCGCGGTAACAAGTAAAATGGCAAACTCCATTCTACTGTATGCCTCTTCTTGTATTTTATTCTAACATATATCTGTTCCATTGACAAGTGTATATATAAAAACAACGATGCAATTCTAATGCATATTCGTTCATGTTAGGCAGAAAGAAACTTATAAATAGGATAGGAAAATATCATTATTCTTTTTAACTTCCTTTTCAGCCTTACATACGAGTATATGCTTAG